TATATAATTTTAATATAATGATAATTAAGAAAGTAATTTTTATATCTTTGAAATAAATATCTTATCTTCTATTAATAATTAAAAAATTTCAAGAAAATTTCTGAATGAAAAGTATTATTAAAAGTAATTAAATATTATAATAAATTATTTTAATTTGAAAATAATAATACATGATACTAGTAAGATTAATCATATTATTCATATTATTTTTTTATCTCTTCATAAAAAACTACTATCTATCAATTTATGTTTATATATTATAAATATATATAATATTATGCTAAATTTAAATTATCTATTAATTAAAATAAGTAGAACTTTATTATAATATTACAGAAATAAATATAAAGTAAGCTTTATTCTATATTATATATAATCTTTTATGACTAATATTAATTTTTTTTTAGAAAATATATCAAAAAAATACAAATCTAATATGTAAAGACTTAATAAATATTATTAAAGATAAGAGACTTAATGAAAAAAAAAATAGATTAGAACTTAAAGATAATAAAATTAATAATAATATAAGTAATAATACTATTCAATAAAAAATATATAATTTTTATATAGTAAATAACTTATTTACAAAGAATAAAGATAAAAATATTAATTAATTAGTTGAGAATTATTAGAATTATATTTAAAATAATATATTTATTAAATAATATATATTGATAATTTTAATATATATTAATATATATCAAATATTTATTTCAATATATATTAATAATTTCAATATATATTAATAATTTCAATATATATTAATATATAACTAATAATAAAAATTAATATAAATCATTTCAAAAATTTTCTGATAAAAAAATTTATTAAAGAATTCTCAATTATAATATTATCACTTATATTATTCTTTCATAAAAATAAAGAATATAAATAATTTATAATAATATAATAAATATTTAAATAATTAAAATAAAATCTTATATTAATATCAGTTTTATTATTATCTGATTTAAAATTATCATTTATAGTTACTATAAATACTTCAAATTTTATTATTAAAGCTATATCAAGTCAAAATTAAGATAAGAATAATTAATTAATTGCATTTGAATTAAGAAAATTCTTATTAACTAAATAAAATTATCTAGTTCATGAAAAAGAATACTTATAATAATATATACTATTAAACTTTGAAAATTATATTTAAAAGATCAAAAATTTATAGTAATTACAAATTATATCTTCTTAAAATATATTAAAATATAATATAATCTTTTTAAGAAATAGATTTACTAGTTAAAAATACTGCAAGTTAGTAATTTTAAAGTAAAGTACAAATTTAATAAAAATAATATAATTACAGATATACTTTTTTATCAATCACATCTAGCAAATATTATAATAGTTATCATTAATCTTATAAAAAAAGAAGAATTAGTCAAGAAATATTAAGAAGATAAGTATTTTACAAAAATATATGAAGTCTTGAAAAGTTTTAATAATATTATATTCAAGTAACAGATCAAGATAAAATACTTTAAATTAAAAAAAGACTTATTATATTTAAAGAATATTAATTATTTAACTATATTAGATAATAAGATATTAAAAATAAAAATTCTATTTGAATTTTATGATATATTAATAGCAGAATATTAGAATAGATAAAATATATATAATAATATCTTAATAGTTTTATTAATCTAAATAAATAAAAGTATTTATAAATATATTATCAGTTATGAATTATATTAGTATAATAAAAGTAATAATTAATAACTTTTAGAATTACTATAATTTCTTGTTATATTTAAAAAGAGATAAAAATATATTATTATAGATTTCATAATTTAGCTTTTAACTATAAAATCTGGATATAATATTATAATTATATTTGTAAATAAATTATTTAAAAAAGTGCACTTTATACTTATCATAATAATAATAATTATATCTAATATTATAAAAATTTTCTTTGAAAATATATTTAAATTATATAACTTATTTATAGTAATAATATTAGATAGAGATGCTAAATTTACAAGTCACTTTTAAAAATCTTTTTTTGAATAACTTGAAATTAAATTAATAATATCAATAATATTTTACTTTCAAATTAATAATTAAACAGAAAAATTAAATAAAATTCTTGAAAAAATACTCAGGATATATTAACAAAATAAATGAAATAAAAATTTAACTATTGCAAAATTCACTTATAATAATAGTAAAAATACTTTAACTAGTTATATATCTTTTAAATTAGTTATTTTAGAATAATATTATAGTCTCTCAAAATTTTATAAAGTACTAAAATATCATAATAAGAATAATAAAAGATTTATTATTAAAAGCACAAGATAGGTAAAGTAAATATGCAAATTAATATAAAAGATTTGAAAAATTTAACATTAAAAATAAAATTCTTTTCTTTATTTGTAATATAGAAACTTTAGTTAATAAATAAAGAATAATCAAAAAGCTTATACTGAAATTTATAGAACTCTTTGAAATTATTAGTAAAATATCTTTTGTCATTTATAAATTATAATTACAAAATTACATCTGATATTTTATATATTATTACTAAAGATATTATCTTAATTAATTATAATTTATAATAATTAATTAGAAAATTATAATCAATTATAATAGTCAATCAGAGAATTATGACTAAGTTATAATATTATTTTTAATCATTACTAAAAAAATATAATTCAGATAATAAATATAACAAATATTAACTATTATCAGTAATTATTATATCAGATAATAAAGAGAAATATAAAATTGAAAATATTCTTAACAAAAAAATTTATTATTACAAATCTTAATATCTTGTTAAATAGCTTAATTATTTTTTTTATGATGCAATATAGAAACTACTTGAAAACTTAAAAAATATTATAAAGAAAATTAATATCTTTGAAAAATTATATACTAAAATATAATGAGAATATTATATTTTAAATAAAAAGATATATAATAATTTTGATTAGATTATCTTTCTTTAGTTTAGATTTTTATTTTGTATTATTTATATAATAAATTAGCTTTTATATTATATTTTATAAAGATTAATTTCATTTTGGATATATAAATAATCATTTATACATTTAATATATTAGATTTAACACATTATCATATAGATAATTACTATATATATCTATATTATTACTTTAAATTATTAATATTTTTTAATTAGATTTCTTTTAATTAATTCTTTATTTTTTACTTATTCTTATTTATTATTATTTATATTATTATTTATTATATTATTAATTATTAAATTATGATTAGTTATTTTCTAAAAATATGAATTAAATTAATTAATTTTGTTAAATCATATATATTTTAAAAATAAATTTATTATTAATTTATTTGCTTTTTGTATTTATTTCTTTTATTATAAATAAAATTTGTCTATTCTGTAATTTCTCTTTAGATCTGAATACTTTTAAATAATAAAAATAATCATAAGTTATAAAAATTAAAACTATTTATATTATATTTTATCTTATTTATAACTATTAATAAAATAATCTTATATATTGATCATGATATTGAAGTAGAAATAATTGATATTATAAATAAAATTTAATTAAAAAATAAATTTTTCTAGTTATATATAATTTTAAAAAAATATAAATTATATTTATAATTATTTCACTAAATATTATTTTTTTTACTATTATTTATTTTTATTAAATGCTCATAGATAGCTTGTTAGATATTATACTTGAAAACTATAAATATTTATATATTTTTCAAGAGATTTTCTTGAAGTTGAATAATACTTTTAGAAAATAAATCAGAGATCAATTCATTAAATTTGAAAAATTCTCTTGAAATTAGATAATATCTTCAAAAAATAAGTTAAATATTACTGATAGGACATAAACTAATTTAGATTAGTTATTAGACTTAAAGAAATTAATAATTTTCTTTATAATATTAATAAGTATATCAAACTTATAATAATAAGTTATTTTTGATATTTTTATATAAAAAAATTTCAAGTAATAAATTTATTAATTTATAAATAAAACAAAACTAATTTATCTTGATTATTCTTTTTTTATTTCTTTATTCTATATAAGTGATATAATAATTATCTTTTTCTTTTTTTTACTTATCTTTTTCTTATTTTCTTTATCAAATTTTACTATCTTCTTTTGAAACTTGATTTTTACCTTCAAAAACTTCTCTTCTTTTTTGTTTTTTCACTAGCTTTTTCCTTTTATTATTATATTTCTAAAACTTGATAAAATATCTTTGCCTACAAGTCATTGATGATATTGCTTTGGCTTATAACATACTGATTAATATATTTGAAAATTAAAATTAAATTTATCAGTGTATTAATCAGTGCACAGACGCATTATACATGTGCATTATGTAATCATGATCGACCAATCAAATTGCATGTCACGTGTAATACAATTTGATTGGTCGACTATAGGTCACGTTTTTGTCCCACTGGCTATCGAAACAAGGTATTTTCAAACCAGTATAAATTAGTAAATAATGATTATTTTTTAAAAAAAAAGCCGTGAAGTTATAGTAAATTGGTATAGCTACAAATTCCTTGTTCAATTGTATCACATTTGTGTGGCAGCTTATTATCTTTGAAAAATTGCCAATTTTATCGACGTCTTTAAGTGTCCTGCACTGTACATATAATTATACCTTCAAAATCACCTGATAAATGACGCTCCCCTAACAGATATTGCAAATATTGTATAATTGTATAAAGTTGAATGTGATAATTTTAGTTTTATTAATGCATGATATACAAGGGTTAACGTTAGGTATGATCCATAATATAGATTAGCTTGAAGAAAACTTCTAATCTATAGCACAGACTATATCATCAAATATTTTCCTAAATAGTACAGTATAGGTTATGTTAGTATCCAATCACAATTCGAGTCTCAGTATCATCAATGTATGTTTGTCATTATATTATTGTTATTAATCAAAAAGAGAACAGAAGATATTTTAAATCTAGTGAAAAATTTGTGAATCAAAAAAGATTACTTTGCTCTATTTGATATGATTTTACCAGCGCATTCACCAAACCCTATCAAATACCCATCACCTTGACAATATCCGGTCAACACCACTTCATCATCATCTTCGATGAATTTTCGTTTAATATCACCCTCAAATTCAATCTCATTTTGTCCATTCCATGTGATTTCCAAGAGGGAACCACGTGAATCTTCGGTCTATAAAAACACGAAATAGAGGCGTAAGCTAGGTTTATTTAAATCGAGGATTTTTTCAATACAAAAAATACCTGGCCACTGATTGTTCCGGTTCCACATAAGTCTCCCGGACGTGTGTTGCATCCATTTACCGTGTGATGAGCCAATTGCTGAGTAATTGACCAGTACATGTATTTGAGATTTGTGCACGTTATGGTCTTGTACTCGTTACTTCCCGATGCTAATTTGAAGAACAGAGTTATCAAGTCTTTTGATATAAAAAGAATTATTATTACTAATTCCATACGTTTCATTTTCACTTCTAAATTGATATTATAAGCGGATGGTCCTCTTTCTTTAAGGTACGTTAATGGCGGAGGAACCTATTGGTAGGAAAAATTAGGTATATTACATATATTTATAATGAATATTAGAATAACTAGCTAATACGTACTTGTTGTTGTCCTTGCACCAAAAAGGGTTCTAAAGCTTCAAGAGTGACCACCCAAGGAGAAATACTAGTCCCAAAATTTTTACCAAGAAATGGTCCTTTTAGAATATCGAAATTCACATTGTTTAGAAAATGGACAAGAAACACTATTATCACTCCCTATATATATATTACCTAAAGGCACGTATTCCCAAGCTTTTTGAAATCAAATATAGGAAAATTATTCCAAAATAAATTAATCCAAAATATATCGAGAAAAATTCATTTTATCATTATTATTTACCTTGGATATCTCGAGCTACATAAAAGAGAGTAAATATTTATTAACCAATGCGGTTTTGTAAATAAGAAACATAACACGTGCTAATTTACTTACCACTCCAATCGTTCATTAAAACCATGCCAAAAATATGATTCCTGGCTTGCTCAATTGGAATTGGTTCACCGAGCTCATTCCCAACTCCGACAAAAAATGCCTATATATGTGATACGCTGAAAGTTAAATTAAATTAAAGAAGATTAACAAACTTGACTTTAATCGTGTACCATTTCTAGTTCATAATCCAATTTCAAAGAAGGACCAAAGATTGGCGGCTGATCTTTAGCTATCAATCTCTGACCATTTGGTCTTTTAATATTTGTGCCAGATAAAACAATGGAAGATGCTCGACCATGATATCCAACTGGTAAATGAATCCTGTGATCAAAAACGAAAAAAATGCAGAAAAGAAAAAATAAACAAAAAGAGAGAGAGAAATCATCAATTTACCAATTTGGCATTAACGCGTTATCTTTTCCACGAAACATAGTCCCAACATTAGAAGCATGTTCTTTTGATGCATAAAAATCCGTGTAATCACCAATTGTGGCAGGCAAATGCAATGTAGCATCTTTCTGAGGAATAAATGCTTTTACGCGTAGCTCGTGATTATCGCGTAATTCGGGAGTATCTGCGGAAAGAATAAATTGTAGAAATTTCCGTGTTGCTTGCCATATTGGTTTTCCAAGTGACATGAACAGGTTCAAAGATGACTGAATTCAAATTCAAATTTGACTATTCATATTAACTCATTTGATCTAGTTATGATCTCTGGTCAGAATGTGAGTTAATTACCTGTGAGAAAACAGATGCGGGATTCTTCAGTTCTGGTACATGTTTCTCGAATAATGAGGAGATAGAGGATAAGTCAAGAATTTGATCACCAATAGCGACGCCAATTCGTGGAAATTGCTTTTTTGAAACGAAATGTCAAATTTAGAATTCATAAAAAACCTTGACTTTATCAGTTACAAATCATGAAATAAGGAAAACTATTCTGAAAATTCAATCAACATCTCCGGATTCTTATAAGAATAAGATAAGTACATTGTTAGTAGTAGAAAATACACCGTACGGCAAGTTTTCCAGTGGAAAATGAGAGCTTGACGAGACTTCAATATAGGATTTCATTTATTTATTGTATAATAGTAATTATTTTCGTGGGAAAATGACAACATTTATAGCAAATGATCACATGCTATAGAAAACTAATTCTTGACAAAAGTTATATATGTAACCATTGATTCTTTCTTCAATGATCCAATGATCCTGCAGTATTTAATTTTCTAATGTATAGAACAATGATACGCGCCGCAAGAGAAAATTAATGAATTAAAGATATTAATAGTCTAAATTATATCAAACCCAAAAAAATACAAATATTGTTATATATTAGTGACTAGTATAAAAATGTTCTAAAAATAATAATAATAATAGTAATCAACAGAAAATAAATAATATTGACGGCGATGATTATGACAATGGAGATGATGGTTTTGTTTAAGAAATAAAAAAATCCCAGTATAAAATTATTATCCGGTCATTCTAATTGACAAGGAACATTCAACTGATTAAGCGTGGTTTTGTTGCGGTGATTGCTGCTGCTGCTGCTGCTGCTGCTGTTGCTGTTGCTGTTCTTGTCTGGAACTTTGATCTTTTAATGCTTGCAGTTGTTTGGAGCGGAATGCTTCATAATGAATTTGAGCTGTGGTCTCAATGAGATCCGAGAGATGGGTTCTGTTTGTTTTATCAAGAATAGTTTTAATAGGGAATAAAAGAATAGAACTCATATTGATAATATTGAATATTTTACCTTGTTAGAAAATTTCTGAGGTGGACAAATTCACAATGATCTTCATTCTCGACTAAATTCGATAAAAGTAGCGCGAATTTAATTTTCATTTTAGTTTAATAATATTCAAGCATGAGTATAGTAAATATATACACGCGTAATATGATTTATTACCATTGATTACCCCCCATCTGTTGCGTCGTCCACGAACAGACTTGCCATCAATAATCACATTCTTTTCCGATCCCACAATGGCAAACGGGATCAATGACTTGAAAAAAAATAATAATACCGCATTAGCAAAAATATCTCTTGAACTATTATTCTTAAAGATAGTTTAATTAAAATACCTTGATGCTTTCATTAAGATTTCGCTCATTTTCATCAAGTTCCTCACTGTCATATGGATATAACTTGATGTTATGATGAGCCAATTCCGACTTGATCTATCAAATATAAAAGTATATAGGGTCAAAATTATTGGAACAAGAGAAAATATTCTGTGAAAAATATTTCAACAGAAACACAAACCCTCTGTTTGAATGCATCTCTTTCTTGCAAAGTTAACGAATCCGATTTGGCAATTACGGGAACTACGTTAACAACTTCGGAGAGTTTTTTCAAGACAACAATATCAATTGGCTTAAGACTTTAATAGATGAGAGCAAAAAAACAATTAGATATATTCATGTAAACCTATTAATATTAGGCAAATATACTTACGCATGCCCGGTGGGTGCAATGAAAAATAAACAGCAATGAATTCTTGTGTCTTGAATATAACGTTCACGCAACGCGGTGAGTTCTTTTCGAAGATAGGCTGAATGTTGATCTTTGATGTATTTGATAATTGGTTCCCAACTAATTTCGTAATATCTCAAATTAGCATGTAAGAATAAATAAATAAAATTATCTAAATTGTTTAACGGTGAAGAAACTGACCAATTTTCATTGTTGACTTGATCACCGTAGCCGGGTGTATCCACGATATTCAACCTTAAACGAATGCCATTTTCCTCAATCACTAATTGTAAAGAAATTAATCACTTTTCTGTTATAACATTTTCTTTAGAATTTCATCACCAAAAAAAGATGACATACAATGAGATACTGTTTGGATTTCTGTTGTTTGTCTGAATGGTTCGTCAACATTTACGCGACCTTTGCTATCAATGAGGTGAGCAGCAAAAATGGTATTGATGAGAGTTGATTTTCCGAGACCAGTTTGACCTTTTCAAAGATGAAAGATTATTTTAATAAAAATAAGAATAACGACGTGTTTAATAGTAGATTAATAATCTTACCGACGACAATGACATTAAATTGAAAACCACGTTTCAAAAGCTTCTTTTCAATTTGTTGTGTGATGGAATCAAAACCCACGTAGCCATTGAGATTAATCTAAAATAGATGAATACTCTATATGTTAATCTTCTCTGCTCTCCAAGGTACAAATTTGCATTGTCAAAGATGAAACCAATTTCCACTTGCTTTTTGAGGTTCGGCTACAGCTGCCATATCTAAAGTGTCAATTTAAAGATTCTTTATTTGTTTTTTAATTGAAAATACGCGAATACTTTTTAGGTTTCGAGAAAGTAGAAGAGAAGGAACGTATTGGGTGAGTATTCAAATGTTTATTTTTTATTCTCGCTCAATATATTAAAAGAGAGTACAATTTACTTATTAATAATAAAAGTGTGTCGTCGTTTTGATGAAAGCAAATAAAAGCTGGAGAAAACTATTTCATTATAATCGTTACTATTATTTTTTAAAATAAATTAAATAAGAACACGTGAGGTATAGAAAAATCGAAAATAGTTATATTTCACAACAGATTTGTTAATTTCTTACAGCATTGAAATGAACGACCTTGTATTGGTTCTTTTTATATAATTTATTTGATCTTATTCTTTAGTATTTTATGTTGTGTAAAATCTAAGACTTTTGACGATTGGCATTTGACAACAGGTGTAATTTACCTGCATATTGACTGGCTTAAATTTAACCTTATAATAGTTGAGATCAATTATTATTTGAATCATGATGAAATTAAGAAAACTAATTATTCAAGTAAAAAACTCTTTTAGACTCCGGTGGTTTTTTTAATGCTACCTAGATGACATCAATATCTCTCAAAGTTGTGAGAATCAACTTCGATATATATCATTTTGATCTTTCAACTTCCTTATCAACATCATCAAGATTAGATTTCTTTCCTCACTCTAATTCTAATATCCCACGTAACAATTACTTTCGCTCTTTAATATGTCTTTTAACACAAACGCTAATTTATACGACCAGCAACATCATGAAAATGTTGAATTTGGCAGATAGAGATATCCATAGTAAGGATTAACACCATGTAGCATCCAACGGTCTGTGATTTTCTAGTAATTGTTCATTACCGTTACACCCTGTCACAAGCTGTAGCTGTATATCTGAGCGTTTTACTCGGTTTCAAGCTATCTTTATGATATTTTCTTTCCGTTCTCTCTTCGAAATAATAATAAATTGCTTTCACATCAACATCATTAAGGATAAAGGAATGTGTGTCAAGTTTCGTGCATATTCATATCACTTTTCTACTTCCACATTTTTGATGTGCCCAGGTTATGATAGGCATGATCAAAATCGGTAAGGTCATCAATTTCTTGTTCATCTTCAATTTTGTTTTTGTCAAAAAATCTCTTCAAGGTCACTTGTGGGATCAGGTGGATTTTCCTTTTTGGCTGAATCAAAATTGCAAAAAAAAGGCCAATCATTAATTCTCTAAGAAACTGAAATACGCTGGTATTGCTCACCCTCTCTTCGTAATCAGAATCCATTTCCACTTCTGATAAGCTTTCAGCATAATTTACTCGGTCTCTTTTCCTAAGTACCATTCCGGAAGAAATATATAACAGTGTTGATAGTTTCAGTGTACGTTGATAGCTAAATTTCCTTAAAGGTTGGATAATTGATATGAACCTGTTTACGTGATCGTTCGTCCTTCCACTTTCTCATTATTTTGCGATCTGGTCAAAGTACCCGCTACAGAAGATCTGAGAAATTAGTAATACTCTTGATTAACCCCCTTCCCCCACGAGAAAATAGACAATCAAATAGGATCCAATGCCGGATCAGCAAGTTGCCTTTAAACATCGGGCGGCCAAGTAAGACATCTGTTCCCAACAATAGTTCGTGACTCGGGCCTAACATACTTAATTAGTAACTTTGAACTTTACCTAGTCTTCCAATTTTAACAAACTAAACTATGAAAATGATAGTTTTAATGATATTCTTTCAGATTCATGGGTTTAGTCTTCACATAAAAGTTTGGATTTGGTTTCACAGTGGCCTGCAAAAATAACCACTTATATTGCTTATCGCTCAAACTGATCATCCTCATAAAACTTACTACAGTCTAGTACATTTCTAAATATGGATGTTTAAAAATGGAAAGTACATTGTATTACAGAAGTATTTATTATGATATGTTTATAATGTAAATTTATTACAAGCAGTCTCTTTCTTTTTATCTTTGTCTTCATTATCTTCTTGCACTTCAATCAGAGTAATAATGATTACTAATAAGATAATTATTATAATTAGAATGATATATTTCTTTATATATGAATTATTATATTAGTTATTTCTAGTCTTTGTGAAATAGAAGTAGAAATCTTTTTGATAAAATTAAAAATATTATATATTAGTAAAACTACTAATTATTTTTTTCTAATTCTTTAATAAAAATAATATTTTTTTCTATTAAAATATCTCTAATCTTTTGAAAAATATTATTAAATTATTATGAATTCTATTTAATAAACTTTAAAATTGTGAATTTTCCAGAGAAGAAGTCAAAGAGTTAATAATTAATAATATTTATGATTTTGTTAATAAAGTTTTACCTTATTAAATATCTATTTCTTTTTAAATTATAGATATTAAATATAAAAATTCTAATAAATATTTTTTTAATTAAAGTTATTTTGAGTAAAAGAATAATGGACTTTTTAGGATAATTTTGATGTAATTTTTTAAAATACTTTCATTTTTCTATAGATTTCAGTCTTTTTACTATGTTTCTGATAAACTTATATAAATCTATATGCAGTATGTTTTTTTATATATGACATCTTGTAGTATATTTTTTGATATCTATTTTGATTACTATTTAACTTTCTGATTCAAAAGAGTATAATAATTTCAAATACGAAGTATAATAGAGTATTAGTTATCTGATTAGTTCACAATTAGTTTTCTAACACTAAAAAGCATATATCATAGGTGTGAGTAACGCAGTTACAGAGCATAGCAAAGCATAATTATCTTATTTGATTGCTAATTAGTATTCTATTACTGTGAGCATAAACTTTTAGAGAGAATGCGAAATATGAATAGTATATTTTTTGATATCCTATTTGATTACTATTGTAACCAATCAACTTATTTATATGGCGCAGTAGACGTGGCGCAGCATATGGCGCAGTCGCAGCACGTGGCGCAGTAATCGCTGATCACTACTAAATCAGGCGAATAAGTAATTTATATTAATTAGTCTTATTTATAATTAACTCTATTTATAACTTATATTATTAACCATATTTAGCCTTATTATTTTATTAAATTAGCCGTGTGCGTCGCACTTGATTTATAGTTTAATTAAATTAATAATTTCCTTATTAATTATTTTTATCTTTTCTTTCTCTTCTTAATTTATCTTTAA